AAAACTGGTTTAAAAGCAATTTTGTCCTGGTCAATATATTAATTTTTTGTATATTTTACAAAGCATTTAAATGGCTAAAACACACTAAAATACCCAATATTGAGAAAACTAAACGGGAAATTTCCCAAACTTCTCCCAGTGTTTTTTGGGTGTAGTTGGTCATACTAAATGAAAATTTTGACAATTTAAATTTTTTTGAAATTCAGCCGTTTTAGGTTTCGTTGAACCCACAAAGTATGACCCGTAAGGTGTCTCGTAACCAGCGCGGGTAGTCCTTCTCCAGGATGAACGGCTCCCGCCCGGGGGGTGGCTCGCGTACCAGGTCCATCGGCAGGTTCAGCATCCTGCCGTACAGCATTTCGGCAGGCGACACTCCCGTGGACGAATGCGGAGCGGTTCTGTAGGCTAACAGAATAAGCGGGATCCAGGATGGCCAATCCCGCTGGTTGTGGGCCACCACGACCGTCAGGTGCTTGATTAGTGTCTGGATGAATCGCTCCGCCCGGGAGTTACCCTTCGGGTAAAAGCCACTTGTGCGGGTGCGGCGTATCTGCAGCAGCTGGAGCACCTCCGCGAATACGGCGGCCTCCCAGTTCCTTCCTTGGTCGGAGTGCAGGACCGAGAACGCCCCGTAGCGAGCCACTATGTTGTCGACGATGGCGCGCGCGCTGGTCTCCGCGTCGGCCCCCTGGACCACTATGCACTCCGGCCAGCCGGTGAAGTGCTCCACACAAACCAACACATACCAGCGGCGGCTAGAGCTGCGTGCGGCCGCTGCGTATTGCGGGCAGTCCACAGGAGGGGGAAAGTGTCCCGCCAGGTCGACAGCCCAGCGCCCGAGGAAGGTGTTGTCGTTCATGATGCGCATCGGTCCCGGCGCGCGGTGGTGGCTGGTGCCAGCAGCGCGGCCGCACTCTGCGCAGCTCGCAATCACGTCCCGGCAGTCCTGGAAAGCCTGCGGCCAGTAGAAGCGCTCCCGCAGCTTGGCCAACGTGCGCGTCACATTAAAGTGCGAGCCCGTCCCTGGCAGTGCATGATATTTGCGGACCGTCTCGTTCACTCGGACGCGTGGCAGCACCAGCTGTAGGTAGTTGCGGCGCGTGTCGCCCGACGGGTGTTCCCAGCGACGGTGCAGCACCCCGTCGTCGTCGACGTGTAGCGACGCCCACTGGAGCCACAGCGCGCGCGCTTCAGAGCCCAGCGCCGCGACATCTTCCGGTGTAGGCCGCTGTCCGTTCTCCAGGGCCCGCAGGATCGGCCCGATCGCGCTATCCGCCAGCTGATCTCGGCGGAGCGCCGGCGACTGCCAGTCTGGGTCCGCCTGCAGGCGCGTCAGGTACACCGCGGCCACAGCCTCCACACGAAACTTCTCGTCCTTCTGCTCGAGTCTGGAACAGGGCTTGCAGGTGGGGGGGCACGGGCGCAGCGGGTAGCGGCTCAACGCATCTGCATTGGTTAGCGTCGACCCGCGCTGATACAGCACCGAGAAAGAATAGCGCGACAGGAACTCAATCCATCGGGCCAACATTCCATCTGGATTCTTGAAATTGCGCAACCACTGCAACGCCTGGGAGTCCGATTTTACCACGAAGGGGGCGCCGATCAGGTACTGGTGGAATGTTTTGACCGCTACGACAAGCGCGAGAAGCTCTCGGGTGGTCGCGCAGTAGTTCCGCTGCTCTCTGGTGAACTGACCAACTTCTGACACCAGTGTAAAGATCGTGGGTGGAAGGGACACGGGGATCTCTACAGGGAATAAGCGAGGAGTCACTAGA